TAGATATGTTTGTATTTTTGTCTTGGTTGTCAACATGTTTGGCTGGCAACTGCTTTCAAAACAGTTGGATGGAATCAATGATCTTTCACTATATCAAACTTAGGCTATGGTTTTGATTTTAACATATTTTTGAGTGAATGAATATACACGGAGATATTGGTTTTTAAAATTGTACAGAACTTCAGGAGATACTACGTATAAGGATTGACACGAAATGTTATCTTTTACGCTGTACGGTCGTGAGATATTGGTTTATTATTCTATTTTATTATCTAGAGATTAGAGTAGTTTTTTCTTTTCTGTTGTTTCTTTTATGGTATGCAAAGTTCAATTATGTGAGCAATGATCAATGAAATTTTTTATCCCAATATCTATAATTAAGGGTAGATTGATCACCCTACTTTTTTCTATACTAATCACTCCCAGAATTTCAAGGAGCCGCCAAATTCACGACAATCAAACTTTGAAATGTTAATGGAAAATTTTATTGAGACACAAACTCACTCTAACCTGAAATCTACGATGGAGAGTTTTATAGCAACACAAACCCTCATAAATGAAGAGTTTAGAAATAAAAACTTTCTCACCAATGAGGCACTTAGGCATTCAAACACTAAGATTGACAATTTTATCACCCATACCAAAATGTTGGAGATTCAGCCACTTCTTCCGTCCCTTCTAGATCATTTTCGGGGCAGCCCGAATAAAATTCTAAGGGACATTTGAATGCCGCGACAACCCACAGTGGTAAGTAGAGAGAGAGAGAGAGAGAGAGAGAGAGAGAGAGAGAGAGAGAGAGAGAGAGAGAGAGAGAGAGAGAGAGAGAGAGAGAGAGAGAGAGAGCAAATACCACTTAAAAAGGAGGTTGTTGAAGAGGTTGAAAAGGAAGCACCCTATGTTGCCCCTTCTCCATACAAATCTATTGTTCCTTTCCCGCAAAGATTTGCAGAAGATAAGGTAGGTACCCAACCCAATAGGTATGTGGAAATAGTGTAAAAGATCCTTACCAATGTACCATTAACCAAGGTCCTGTCTAAAAAGAGAATATTAGAGGACTATGAAACTGAAAAAATTATTGATGTTAAAAGGGAAAGGTTGAACTTTGAGGTGGGGGATGAAAAGATTAAATTCAAACTCGATAAGTTGATACTTAGGATAGAACTATAACCATCCCCACAGGTTCATAAATATGAACCGCCCCATAAAAAGAAGAAAAAGAACAATAGTGGATATGAGAGATGACTTGATAAGTGGGCACAGACACCTAATACTACTGAGAATGAGGTTGATGAATCAATTTTGAAAGAGCCACCATGAGTGCTTGCACTCATGAATCGTCAAGCTAAAATGACGTTAAACAAAACGCTATGTGAGAGGCAACCCATGTTTTTTGCACTAATTTGTTTTCTTGTTGATTTATTTTTTTCTTCCATTTAATAAAAGGCCCATGAAGGAAGAGAAAATAAGAAGAGGAGTGGTCTTGGATGACGTCCAAGCAATGATGTAACAACTCATGTTGCCGTTCCCACCTCACTACAAAAAAAATTGGATCCTGCCACGTGAAATTCACTTAACAACAAGGAAAATCACTTCACAAACTGATATTAGCGACGTGACTATTCACGTGGCAGGAGGACGTGTGGCAACTTTGTTGCCACGTGAAAATCATGTCACAACTTTGCCACGTGATTTTCACGTCGCAACAAATAAAATAATATTTCAGTCACAGTAGGTGGAGCAGGTGTGTAAGAAAGTTGCGACGTGATTTTCACTTCACAACTTGCGACGTGATTTTCACTTCACAACTTGCGAAGTGATTTTCACTTCACAACTTGCGACGTGAATATCACGTGGCTAAGAGTTTTTTTAAATTAATTAATTTTTTGGTAGGTTTAAAATTAATTTATATTTAAAATTATAATTATAGTTTGTCCACTCAATTTAATAAATACAATTTATTTTTAATAATAATTTAAATTGGAAAATTAATAAATATAAATAAGAAAAATTAATAAATATAAATAAATATCAAAATTAAGAATAAATTTTTTAAATAAAAAGTGTATAATATACTAAAATGTAATTAATATTTTACAAAAATAAAAATTTAAAATTACAATAAATGATTCGGATCAATCTGGATCGGGAAAACTGTCAATGTCAAAATCATTGTTGTCCTCGTCATCCAACTGTTGTCGACCACCCACTTCTTCATTTCCAACAACTGGATTACCGTCACCTTGCGATTGCATAAATTGGCGCATCATCGCCTCCATTTCAGCTTGCCTCTTATTCATTGCCTCTATCTGACGTTGTTGCTCCTCCATTTGGGTTGCCGTTTCGCGTCTCGCTTCAGTTAGCGCCAGTTGTCTTACCGTTTCTAGCATCTCGGGGGTCAATTGTGGTGGATGTGACGATCCCTCGCCATCTCTAACTCTTTGAAATAGAGTTTTGTCCCCCTTTCTCATACCACCGGCCAAAGCTCCAGCACCAAATAAACATCCATTCGGTCCCTTTCCGCCAGTTACTAAACCCCAAATGTAAAAATCCACTCGTGGATTAAGCGGCTCGGAACCTCTTGGAGTATACTGAGGATTCTCTGTCAAAAACCGTGTGAGCAATACTTGGTAATCCTCCTACACACAAAATAAAATAAATTAAATTGAATACAGCTTAAATAATTTAAGTTAAATTAAATAATAAATTTTGCCACGTGATTTTCACGCCACAATATCTCAGTTGCCACGTGATAATCACTTCACAAAATTTGCATTAAATAAAAAAAATAAAAAAAATAAAAAAAAGTGAAATGATTTACTTACCACAACTTTTTTGGTGCGTTCGTCAACAAAGCCCCCTGATTTCTTTGTTCTAGTCTTTACAACTAGCTCAGTCATGAGTGGAGGTCTCCCCAATCTCTTTTCCTAAATAATAAAATTAACTTTAATTAAAAATATATAATAAATCATAATATAACTTAAAATAGAAGTAATAATTACCATGCGTCGAGCATGTTCGACAACACTTATACTTCCAACTGCATTAAGGCTACCCCCTTTTTCAGACGCTCTCATTTTCTTTGCCTTTTCAGATCTTGCTTTAAATTCAGCATCTGAATCCCAATAAATAAGAAGTTCATCGAAAACTTCTTTGCCTATCCAGTTGGGACAAATATTTACAAGTTCCCAACGCTTTCTAACATGTCGTAGCATGTCAGAAAGTCGAACTGCTGTTCTGCCAAAATAATTTTTTCTAACCTCTTTCTCATTCATTTTTTCCCACGTACACTTTTCCTACAATGTTGTAAGACATTTAGATAAAATATTTAGGCAATTATAATAAAAAATAATTAAAACAAAAATAACTTAAAAAATAAATTACATAACTTAACAAAAATAAATTAATTATACCTTAAATAAATTAAACCAAGCTTCTCTTTCGTCCCCCTTAACTTCTCTAAATCTCTTCCAAACTTTTTTATACTTTTGCTTAATAACATAACTTATGCACTGGGTAGCAGTCCGACTCGGCTCGAAACTAAACATCAATAATTTATATTAATATGAAATATAAGTTAATATAAAAACGAAAACATGTATACCTAAAAATTTAAAACTTACGAATTTCCGCTGGGCCAAATAAAATATCTTCCATTAATGATTTGAACCACCTCATCATTGGGAGCCTCCTCATCATCGTCCTCAGCTGCCTCCTCATCAACCACCTCATGATCGTCATCAACTGCATCATCATTATCCTCACACGTAGGTATATGTGTGGATGGTAAAGGTCCCTGTGTGGTATGTGCGGGGTGGGATCCCTCCGACTGTGTGAAGGATGAGGGTACCTGTAGGGGAGTTGGAAAAATAGATCCCCCGACTGCATGAAGGGTGTGGGAACCTGCTGGTAGGGAGGTGGAAAGTTAGATCCTCCAGATGGGCTAATGAAAGTTGGAGCCCCTGATGGGTAACTAGGTCCCCCAGACTGCTGATATGGATAACTAGGGCCTCCAGATGGGCTAATAAAAGCTGGTCCCTTAGATGGGCTAATGAAAGCTGGAGCCCCCGATGGGAGGTCCCAAAATATACTTTTTTTGTCCAATTGTGTGTGACCCCATATCCTTGAATTCTACATGTTTTACCAATATCTGTGAATTTTGGTAGTTCACAAATTTGGTTCCATACTTCACCTGGTGACAATCGAGGTGGAGGCAAATCTGTTACTCGTTCATCTTTTTTGAAATCAGGATGTATGCGATCAAAGTGCTTCCATGCCTCGCCATCAGATGGATGTCGCATAGTGCCTGAACTTATTTTGTTTGTATGATGCCATGTCATTTGACTTGCACTGTGCATTGAAGTAAACATTCTTTTCAACCTTGGTATTATCGAAAGATAAAACATGGACTTCACTGCTACACGTTTTTGCTTACGCTCAATGGCTTTACTACGAACTTTATATCTTGGACTCTTACAGAACTTACATTCCTCCAACGCTCCATCATTAGTACCAAACTCATTGTCGTAAAACAGCATGCAACCACTAATGCAACAATCAATCTTTCTTACTTCTAAACCCAACTTCGAGACCAACCTCTTTGCATCATAAAAACTTGTAGGCAAGTTGTCTTTTGTAGGAGTCGAGTCGAGCATCATTTTTGCGAAGAATTCCAAACACTGATCAGGAACATTCCAATTTGATTTGGCAGTCAATAATCTCACACACATTGATAACTTTGAGTCCGACGACCCCTCAAACAACAGCGTATTCATCTCATTCAACAACTGATAGAATTTTTGCGCTTCCTCATTCGGCAACTCTTCCCCATCTAAATCTTCAGGTTCGTCATAGGTCACATTCACACCAAAAGCATCGTCCACCATCTCACTGATTAGATTAAAATTTTCCCTATGTTCCATCGGTGATTGACTACTTGAAGCATGTGTATTACTAGTCTTTGGTACGCTACTCGGCAGTTTTTCTCCATTATATGTCCAAACTCAATAATTTTCAATGAAACCCTTTCTCTTCAAATGTCGTTCTACTTCCTCTGGGTCACTAATTATAGGTCTGCATCCACATTTAAGACAAGGACATCTAACTCCTCCTTCGCTTCGACAACATTCCTGAGAAAATGTCCACGTGATAAACCCTTTAACTCCCTCCTCAAAATTTGGTTTAAGTCCGCGTCTTTCTGGATACAACTTATCGTACATCCAACTACGATAGTACCTATAATACTCCATAATGCATATTTATACCATCATTATTTTTATAAAATATTAAATACAAGTATTAACAAACTTATTATTAATATTCTTAACATAAACTTATATTAACTAAAAATTACTATTAAACAATAACTATTACAAATTAAAACTATTTAATATATATATTCTTCTTAAATATATATATTTTTATTTTAACTATTACACATGCTATATATTATTAAACATAAACTATTAAAGATTTATTCTATATATCCTATTAAACATATATATTTTTAATATATAAATTTATACATATATAAAAATCTTTTTTTAATAACAAAAATATTATATAATAAACAAAAATATAACAAAAATCTTTTTTTAATAACAAATAATAATAATATAAATATAATATTGTTTCTAATCTAAATATAACCAAATAAAAAGAAAACGTTAAAAATAATATATTTAGTTTTTAATATTCAGTTTTTAAAGGTTATAAATTTATACTATATATTAAAATTTGTTTTTAATAACACATACTAACAAAAATCTCTTTTTAATTACAAATAATAATAATATAAATATAATATTGTTTATAATGTAAATATAACCAAATAAAAATAAAACATTAAAAATAACATATTTGATTTTTAATATTTAGTTTTTAATATATAATTTTATACTATATATAAAAATTTACTTTTAATAACAAAAATCTGTTTTTAATAACAAATAATAATAATAATATAAATATAATATTGTTTCTATAAAACATTAAATATAAGATATTTGGTTTTTAATATTTAGTTTTTAAAGTAATAAAACATAATTAAATTTAATAACACATAAAAATTAAAAATATTGTTAATATTCAGTTTTTAATACTGTTACTATATATAAAAATTTGTTTTTAGTACACATAAATATTAAAATAATAAAACATTAAAAATAAATTTAATATTCTGTTTTTATATTTTATTAATATTCTGTTTTTAATATTTTATAACCAAAAAATAAATAAAACATTAAAAATAATATATTTCTGTTTTAATATTTTATTTCTAAATATATTATTCTATTTCTAATAACAAAAATCTGTTTTTAATAACAAATAATAATAATAATATAAATATAATATTATTTCTATAAAAGATTAAAAATAAGATATTTAGTTTTTAATATTCAGTTTTTAAAGTAATAAAACATAAATGAATTTAATAACACAAAAATTAAAAATATTGTTAATATTCAGTTTTTAATATTGTTACTATATATAAAATTTTGTTTTTAGTACACATAAATACAAAAATAATAAAAAATTAAAAATAAATTTAATATTCTGTTTTTATATTTTATTAATATTCTGTTTTTAATATTTTATAACCAAAAAATAAATAAAACATTAAAAATAATATATTTCTGTTTTTAATATTTTATTTCTAAATATATTATTCTGTTTCTAATAACACAAATCTGTTATTAATAACAAATAATAATAATAATAATATAAATATAATATTATTTCAATAAAAGTTAAAAATAAGATATTTAGTTTTTAAAGTAATAAAACAAAATGAATTTAATAACACATAAAAATTAAAAATATTGTTAATATTCAATTTTTAATATTGTTACTATATATAAAAATTTCTTTCCTTTTCTCACTCCTCTCATTTATAAACAAAAATTCGTTTTATTGTTAATAATGTTTTTATAAAATTCGTTTTTAATATTCAGTTTTCTATAAATATTCAGTTTTGAATATAGTTACTATATATAAAAATTTCTTTCCTTTTTCACTTCTCTCATTTATAAACAAAAATTCGTTTTATTGTTAATAATGTTTCTACAAAATTCGGTTTTTAATAATAAATAATAATAATAATAATAATATAAACATACAAAAAATTATTCATCAAACAACAATCCAACATTAATAAATCAAACTAAAATAAAAAATTAAATAGCAAAAATACCTCTTCTTCACACTCCTTCAATCTTCTTCAACCTCCTTCTTGTTTCCTTTTCTCACTAACAATGATAATTTGACAACAAAAAAATCAAATATTAAATCCATATAAAATTACATTTAAAACTAAATTAATAAAAATAAAATTCAACAATAACTATATGAAAGGAAAAATATATTACCTGTACAAGCAAAATCAAGAAACAACTTCAGAAAAATAAAGAAATTTTTTGGAAGAAGAAGAACAAAGGAGAAGAAATTTGTAGAAGAAGAAGAAGCAACAGGGAGAGAGAAAGAAAAAGAAGTGGAATAAATGTGGTCTCAGAAATTTTCACGCGTGCCATAAATAAAATATTAGTGACGTGAATTTCACGTCCCAAATTTGCCACGTGAAATTCACGTCGCAACATATAACGGCTAATATTTAATTATTCAAATTAATTGGGTAGCGACGTGAATATCACTTCGCAACTTTGCCACATGATATTCACGTCGCAAAAGTTCCAACGAGCATTTTTACAACCTGCAGCACAATCAACCATCACTTCTAAGTCAGATATGTTTCCCTCTTAAATGGTTGCGACGTGATATTCACGTGGCAAACCAAAATTTGAAAATTTCCCCCTTCCCGCTTCAATAGATCTGTCGTTTTAGTTATTATTATTTTTAATTTACATGTTGCGACGTGATTTTAACGTCACTAAAGTTTTTTTTTAATTTTTAAATCTGACAGGCCATGTGCTATATTTGTTTCATATTATTTTAATATTAAACAGGTTAGTGACGTGAAAATCACTTCACAACTGTCAATATTTTGCCACGTGATTTTCACTTCACTAAATCACGTGACTGGACACAACTTTTCTTGTAGTGCCTCCCGAGTGAGGTTCCTGCGAGTTCTACTCCCTATTTTTTGCGGTCAAATATTGAGGACAATGTTTGGTTCAAGTTTGGGGGTATCTATTTATTTTCTTGGACATTTCTTTATTTTTATCACATTTTTTTCTTGTATTTTTATGTTCATGTTTCTTCCTTGTTTTTAATTATTTTCTAGTTTGATTGATGCATTAAGACCACCTTTTCGTAGTTTTTCCCAAAACTAAGATCGTGATTTTTTTAGGACAAGGTTCAGTTGTGGGGAAGATGAGAAAGTATATAGAATTTGAGGGAAGAGAGGCTAGGACTATGGGAATTAGAATAGTTTGAAAACTTAGGCATGACATGAACACCCAAGGTTCCCTAGAGTAAGGACGTGAGTCCAACCTGTAGATTTATGCCATAGTACTTGGCTTTGAGAAGTAATTCTCGATTAGTTTATATTGATGGTCCGACATAATTCAATTTTTTGAAAATTTGGACTTTTTCACGAAAAAAAAAACATTACAAAATTGGATTCGGGGGGGGGGGGGGGGGGGTTGAGTGGCAGCTGCGGGGCAGAGGTGGGTTCGTGAATCAGTGACCGCGCGGGGGGCGACGAAATCGCATCACGTCAGTGGCAGCAATCAGAGATCGCGGGGATCGCACCGCGATCGCAGCCACACTGTGGGTTGACTCTGGCGGTGGGCGTGTTCCACGCTACAGGTCGGCGTCAGTGACAAAAGGGAGCCGCACGACGACAAGTGCTGCAGCGGTGGCGGTTCTGGACCGGTGGCGAGTTCGGAGAGTTTTTCTCTTATTTTTAGCAATATTTTACATCAGTAACCTTTTGGTAACCTTAGAGTCAATTTGGGGTAATTTGAGTTAAATTGCCTGCTCTTAGAGTTAGTAGAGTTATCACATGTGAAGAGTTGCCATTAGAGCACTTTTGAACATTATAGAATACTTTTATATACTCTAGAGTCATTTTGAGAGTTGAGATTTGTTTTTGAGCATTTAAATAAATCTATTGAGTTATAAAGAGTATAATAAAATTTTGAGACTTTCTGAGCAATTTGGTTGATTTTAGAGATGTTGAGTAATAAGATACATTTACGTATAAATCAGAGTAAAACACCAACAAGGGTGTCACATGCTTCATAAAAACATCAATATGGATCGACCTGCTCTGTAACACGGGTTTTCAAATCATTTACAACAATTATTCCATCAATATACTCAATGAACATTTGCAACCATCGCAGCGGAAATCTTAATCTCAAAACATCTTTATTTTAAAGTACTTCAAAGAAAACTTCCTTGCACTCCGTCATTCAAAGTTATGACTCAAAACACTTAAACAATTAAAGACAACTTCTTAACTTCATATTAATTAAAAATAAAGAACACATCGTTCCATTCAAACGTTCCCGACCCCGATGTTACATATTAGAGCAAGAAGTCCCCTAATCAATTGAAATAAAGTAAAAAGGTTCAAAGCTAAGTCTCTATGCATCTACGAGCTAATATTGATCAACTGTGTGTTACCCACGTGGAGGCAACATTCAAACAGGAAGAGTGAGTAATCACAAATTATTACAAAAAATATAACAAGTAGATATAGTAGTTACAACAACAATTATCAATAATTCATATATTCATCTTGCATCACACACATACTCACATTGTCTCTTCATTAAATCATTCATAACGTCCCTATATCATCAATCAATCATCATCACCAAAACATCACTTATGTCAAAACATCATCAAATATCATTCAACTCATAATTATGCAAGGTCACTTAACATGTAATGCATCGACACTAACTCATGCATGTGGTACCAACACTTTGATGAACACATGGTCATATCCCTCTGTCGCGGTGAAATTTGGATACCAAACTATTAATTAGTTTGAATCTTATTCATTTTGCAACCGAACTTTGATTTGTCCAAAGGAAGGGATAAAGATCGAAATTCCCACAATGCAATGCAAATGCAAAGGTTAGAGAGTTTTAGGTTCGGGGGTTGGTTAAACTTAGGGAAGGTACTAGCATCCTAAGTTTCTGTAGTACTCTACAGGAACCTCTTGTTTTATGTTGTTTACTGCTATGTGTTCATCTGCTTAAAGGATTATAGACCCTAGTGGTTTATTTCTAAGTATACTCGATAAGATGTCGCATCTTATGCCTACATATCCTTACGG